TCAAAAGGGCTGGTCATGTGTAAACATGCCTTGGCTACCACAGGGACCGGGGGAGTCTCAGTAAGCTTTGTGTGTGCGTGCCTACACGTCTCAGAGGGCAAGAGCATTGAAGGAGTACATATATGCACCCACTCACATCAGGTTAGGGGAAAATATAAATGGACAGGTCCCTGCAGTTGCTGACATCCCAGGTACATGTGCCCTATGACCCATGGTCCCTCCTGTTTCTGATGCTGACACCCACCACAAAGTTGGTTGCTGGCACCACAAAGAGATGGGTCGTTATAACCCATGGTTATCACCCATGATCTAACTTGAATTGCTGGAATTTGATTTAGTTAGTCTGGTCTCTCCAGCTACTGTCACATAGACCTTTGAACAGTGTCACGTGGGGTAGAGGGTGAAATTAATATGAAAGATATTTAATAAATATTAGTAAGATAGGATAGACTGTGATCAGGCCCAGGGCTCATTCAAACAAGTGTTCTGACCAGCAGCTACTTACACACAAATGGACCCTTTTATTCTTCCTCTCTGTTCCCCCCACTTTGTTCCTCCCTGATTCCCCCTTTTGCCTATCTTTGACTCTTTCAAGTTTTACATAGTCCCCAAGCCCCCTCAATATCCATAATACTCATGTTCTCTCGTTTCCCCCTTCTTGTAAGTTACAAAGTCCAAGTCAACTTTCTTCAAAGCTATTCCTGTAGATTCTTGATGGCCCATCAACTAGTGGTTGAGGAATTTTAGTCTTACTGTCTTGTCATTTCTCAGTCGTGTTTGTGATTCCATATGCCTAAGAGCATAAGAATGTATCAGAGAGGGGTGCCTCATTTCCAACCGATTGACCCCAACATCTCCATCCTTCAGTCTCCCACTCAAGTATCTCATCTCAGCCTGTGGTGGTTCAGTAGTTACAGTAAGTTCAATATGAATTAAAGCACATTCCTTCTGCTCTGGTGAATGAATTTTTCATTTGTGGCACTCTAGGGTGGGGTGGTGCTGGTCTCTGAATACTATTTCAACCCTCTTCCCTCACAGTGACCCCTTTTAAGTGCTGTTATTTTTAGCACTTAAATTATTGGGAAGAGGGGGGATGTTGATGAGTGGAATATCATGCATTGTGACACATAAACTGTAACCTGACCCCTCCTGTGTGTCCATATTTCTGTTGTTTTTCAAGGGCAAAATCTTTAAAGTTCCCTAGGAGGGTCCAAGCTCTTTAGAAATTATGTTTTTTCCCTTGGGTCAGGATCTTTATCCACACATCGTCAGAAACACAGGCTTTTTGTGCTGCTAAAATAATACTGGCCAAGGTGGAGGCCAAGAGAGATGACAGAATGCAAGGGAGGCTTTTTGTTTCAGGACCTGGACCTGAAAAAAATTTAATTAGGAGCCAAGACAACAATACTTCACCTTCTATTCCATCAGCATGCAAACTTTTTCAGTCTGCCTTCATATGATTAAAAGAAATGACGTAACAGACAGCTATAGGTATGACCACCACTTGCCATTTGTGGAAAGAAATAAAACATTCTCTTACTGTATAACTGGTACGACTTTGGGAGACAATAAATCATGATGGTATAGAAGGAGAAAAGAGAAGAGCGGCTTTTCCCTCCAATCAAATGCGTGATTCACTTGTATCTAATTCAAATAACAGATCTGCATCTAAAGTGTGGACAAGAATACCTCTTGCTCAGTTTCTCATCTCACAAAACACTATTTAGAAAATGAATTCTAGTTCTCACATTCTGTGTGACAAGAAAGAATATCCAAAAGATGAAATAGAACTTTGACGATTTTCTTGCAGTTTAGTCTCTATTCCTAATAATCTCCAGAAAGCTGCCCTGTGTATCTGTGAGGAGAAGCATAAATTTGAGAAGAGATCTTTAAACAGTTTATAATAAGAAAATATCAGAAGTTGAAAAATTAACTCAGTAGAAAAAAAATTACAATGAAAATATTTAGAAGTAAAAAGCAAAAGTGTTCGTGCAGTCTTGGCAATAAGAAATTATAAGGGAAATTAGAAAGATTTTCTAAACAGTCATGCTTGTTTTTCTTCTAAGTATGTAATTGCTTCTCTGCAAATAAAGCAAACTTAGGTAAACTAATCCTAAATGCAGGTTGTTCTGGTTCTACTAGTACCCGATTATCATTTTATGAATAGAGGTGTATTTCCGAAAGTGGTCAGTACAGCTCAGCAGTCTCTGTCAGTGTCCCAGCTCTTCAATGTCATCATAGCCTGTTTCTTCAAGAGCAGGGAGTGAATGTCTCTCAGCCTCAGATGTCCTGTTTCCTGACACATTAGGACTCCAGTCTGAAAACACGAAGGGAAGAACACTGAGATAAATGCACATCCTGTGTGTATTACCTTCACATGGTTGTGCAGCTGGCAGCATGGGCTGTCCGTTGTCTCCTCCAGAAATTAGGACCATAGATATGCATGGCTGTGAGAGCCCCGAGAAATGCTTGTCTCTTCCTGCCTCCTGCTACATGTACACATAAGCCAGGACCAAGCTTACTGTTCCCAGAAAACAGGTTACTGATCCAACTTTAAACACTTCTAATAAAGGCAATTCTTCATAATCCCTAAATAATCCATTTTACTGCCTCAAGTGTTCTCTGACACACTGCAAATTAAGTAGATCTGTCCTTGTCCATCCCACAAGTGTGCCCTGATCAGGCTTCTTACAGGAGAGTGCTCAGCCCATTGCCTGTGTTTGAAAGCCATTAAGAGGATGTAACCCACCTTACGGACGGAGGGGTGTTGTTGCCCACAAAGGTATGAGACTTATTATAAGGGGGAAGAGCATCTTGGGTATTATAGAAAACCTACTATAGAGGAGGAAACAAAAGCACAGAGAAGGAGGGATCTGTGTAGTTTGGGGAGGAACAAGCATGAGAAAATAGAACGATAAGGGGATAAAAGGGGCTGGAGGCATGTAAAGAGGCTGCTGTGCTGGCCAGTATGCATGTTTGGCCATGCCCTGCATCTGATCAGCAGCATCTGTCCTGTTTTTCTTATTACACTCCATTTCTAACAGCTTTCCTGACTAAGGGGGCTCCCCATTCTCTGTGTGTGTGTGTGTGTATGGACGTGTAAGTGCCAGCAACCAGAACTGGGCCATGGGTCAGAGGGGTCTGTGCGTGTGTGGTGCCAGCAACTGGAGAGACCGGAGTGGACAGAACTCTAAAGTACCACCAACCGGGGGGGCTTGGGGGCTCGCATGCCCAGACACCAGCAGCTGGGGGAGGTCAGTGGGTCCAGGGACTAGTTACTTGGTAGACTGCATGTCTAAGCCTAGTTACTGGGGGACACGTTGTGCATGCGTGTGGGTGTTAGTGTGCATGTGGGTATGTGAAGTAACTGGAAAGCCAAGGGTTTCCAGGACCTGTTCCTGGATAGACTGATTATTTTTTCATGTCTTCAGTCTGTCCAATATATTTATCACTACCCCAAAAGGTGGAGTTCAGCTGCTGATCAGAAGGTGTTCCACAGTTATATTAAGTAGAGAAATAAAAGTCTATCTTAAATACTTTTTGTTAATTCATTTTTAATTAGATGGGCTTGACAAAATTTAATACTATGATAATGACCTAGCTGAATCCATCCTCCAGGCACTATCCACTGTCTTTAAGATCTCACAGAGAACGGGCTCTGAAGGACTGGGAAAACATGAACAACATATGCTTATTTTTAAGGTGGTGTGTGTGAGAGGAGAAACAAGATTAGGAGTTACAGAAAGTTCAAATTCAGAAAGATAGGAGAACAAATAAACTACTTGTAAGGAGACAGAAGAAGAAAACCAGGTAGATAACATAACATGGATTTATCAAAAATAAATCACGCCAGATAAATCTGGGGTATTTTGATTATCTAATAGTGCTTTTTTAAGGAAATAGAGCAAATTGTCACTCAACTCACATGATACTTTTATAAGTAAATTAGAGAAATATGGTCTAACTCAAACCTCTGTAGACTGGGTACAAATTCAGTCAAAAGTGGTATCCTTAGCATAGCTCACTGTACCAGATAAGATTCTTTGACAGCCCTAAATAGAACTAAGTATTTTTATTAAGTCCTAAGATAAGAGACACATGTTCTTATTACATTTTCCAGATGATACCATACTATACTATAATTCAAATGATCCTGTGTTTTGATGAACGCAGAATGAAATCTAGTAAGGACACTTAGAAGACCACAGATGAAGGCAGAAACAATCAACTGCATAATTAGAAAGATCGGTGTGTAATGGTATTTTATAGAGCAGGATTTGAAGTTGCAACTGTCAGGAGTGCATGCTGTTGCAAAAAAGGGAAACATCATGCTAGCATGTGTAAACGGAAGGATATCCTATAAGACATATGAAGTGGTCCTTCAGCTCTACCTGACACTAGTAAGGTCTTAGTACCATGCTGAACAGAAATACTGTAGAATTTTGGTTTTGAAACACTTTTTGAAAGATATGGACCTACTGACACAGCCTGAGTGGAGACATACAGAATGAGCAGAGGTCTAGTCAACAAGATCTAAGTAGAAAATTGACTGATTTAGGTTGCAGCAGTCTAGAGAAACAAAATACAAAACAGAACTGAGAGGAGCTATGTTAACATTCTTCAAGTAATTAAAAGGCTGTTACAAAGACGAACACCACTGCTCCATCCCCACGGTCATTGTAATAAGAAGTAACAGTTTTAATTTGCAGCAGTGAAGACAGGTTAGACCACAGGCAAGAATTTTATAGCTGTAAGGAAAACACAGCATGGGTATAGATTACCTGTAGAGGTTGTGGAAACACTGCTACTGACTGAGTGGTTGTAAGAACAGAATAACAGAATAACCTACACTCTTCATATAGGTAGGTAGTGTTCCTTCCTGACAATGGTTAGATAAAATCTAGGTGATCCTTTGAGGTACCCTCCACCTTGATTTTACCTGAGATCAGTGCACTAACTATAGATTATGAAAACTAACAGCACTGCTCTTCTGGCCTCACCTGTCTGTGAATCCTTGTTTCTGTCACTTTCTTCAGGGATCCCAGTGATTTCCTGTTCATTCTGCCCAGAAAGAGAAGCATCTTTAGGTCCAGGAACTTCTGTCACATCATCATAACCATCTTCCAGGGCATTTCCAGGCAGTGGAGAGACCTCTGGAACATTACAGGTATTAACTATAACAGGGAGAAATCTTCCATAGAGAAAGCAGTAGCTGATGATCCAGCAATAAGGACCTGTAACACTGACATTATCATTATGGTAATGAATGATAATAAACCAAGAATCCTCCAGAGGATTCTAAAGTATTCCAGACAACAACGATATAGCTCAAATAATTGTTGTACATTGCTGTAACAAGTAGAAAGCAAAAATCAACATGGAGGAGGCGGCAGTTAGTGACGGTTTATTTCAGAGTAAGATACCCTATTGCATTTCATAATTGCAGTGACAAATTACTCCTTGTATATCTCTGTGTGGCACTTGCTTCCTTGCATTTTTATTACTTTAACCACCTTCTGTTAAATTTCTCTGAGATAGTCTAGCTAAGTAGCCACCCTTGGCCATTTGCCTATGGACATGTGGCTACAAACTTAGGCCAAACCTTTGGAGAAAAATATCTGCAGTTCTGCTTCTCTTCTCCAAACTGAACAACCCCAACTCTCTCAGCTTTTCTCCATAGCAGAGGTGCTCCAGCCCTCTAATCATCTTCATGGACCTCCTCTGGACCCGTTCCAACAGCTCTATGTCTTTTTTGTACTGGGGACCCTACAGCTGAATGCAGTACTCCAGGTGGGGTCTCATGAGAGCAGAGTAAAGGGGGAGAATCACCTCCCTCGCCCTGCTGGTCACACTGCTTTTGTTGCAGCACAGAATATGGTTGGCTTTCTGGGCTGCAAGCACATGTTGTCCACTCATATACCATCCCCCAGTCTGTACTGATCCTGGGGATTGCTCTAAGCTAGGTGCAGGACCTTGCACTTGGTCCTGTTAAACTTCATGAGGTTGAGGCTCATAGTCACCCATTTCTCAAACGTCTCAAGGTTCCTCTGGATGGCATCCCTTCCCTCAAGCATATCAACTGCACCACTCAGCCTGGTGGCATCTGCAAACTTGCTGAGAGTGCACTCAATCCCACTACCTATGTCATTAATGAGGATATTGAAGGGTACTGGTCCCAGTATGGACCTCTGAGGGACACCACTTGTGACTGACCTCCATTTGGACATTGAGCTATTGACTGCAACTCTTTGGATGTGGCCATCCAGCCAATTCCTTAGTCACTGAATAGTCCATCCATCAAATGCAGTTCTCTGAGTAGACAGCTATCTGATTCCTCAGGGGCAGCTAGCTCTATGGTCTGTAGTTAACTGGAAGCCATCCCTCAGAGGATATTAGTTTTCACTGTTTAATAGTATACATACACACATGGGCATACAACTAATGCATATATAAAATTAAAAGTCAATCAAAGCACTCCTATTTCACTTTTTATCTAGTACTCAATATTCAGTCTAAATAAGAGATCTTATTTGGAATAATTGTCTTCTTGATGAGCATTTCAAAGCAAGTAAGGAAAAGAAAAGCTTTTAGTTTAATTTTAAATAATAAAACCCCCTTAATATAAGAATATATAATAGAAAATAAAGATAAAGCACAGCAGAGTCAGGGATATGGGCAGCAGAGGTCCAGCACTCCTCGTGCCTTTGGCAGTTGAGCTCTCTGAGACCAGGCAATAGCTAAGAGGTAGGATCAGCTGTAGGAAAATGCAATTCTCCAAACACTTGCTGTCCCTCAGCTTTTTCAGTTTAAAACCCCCCACATCTGGCATACTACATTTTCTTCAGATCACTTGTATTAAAATTACCCAAACAACTCCAATAGTATGCCAATGTTCTTATTTGGAGCTTATTTTCCCTCTGCCTTAATTCTCCCCATTTTTCTCATAAATGAAGCAAGAGCTTACAAGCTGTTACAGTTGCAATTTCTGGGAGAAACAGTTGTCAAATTGTTGGATTCATGTGACTGGATCCTGTGAAGAGTGAAATACTACCAGCAAATACTTATTTTCAACTTCTCATATAGTAGACTAGCACTTGTATATGAGATTGAATGACATTCTTCCACCACAAGAGTTAAACAGAAATTTTTGTTTTGCATCAAAACATCACTAGTGGACATGAAGTGGAGCAAGAAAAAATTTTAATCACCAGTAATGCTTTGGCGATTAAAAGCTGCCCTGATTTTGGGTCTCTAGGATTCCCATCTTCCATTACCTTGAGTTGTTCCAGGACCATTTTCTTCATCACTGTCCCTGCTATAAAACTGTGCCTTTGCTTTTGAACTCTCTGAATAAGAATCTACGTAAATGAGAAAGAGAAATTATATTAGATTAAACTCGCCTTAGCTGCTAAGACTGCATCATGAGGAAGACAGTAGGCTACAGTAATACCACCCAAGTCAAGCAGATTCGTGGGCAGTCAGTATTACTCCTGCAGGTAAAGGGTTTACAGTGGAATAGCCAAGAATCCCTCAGGGGCCCCAAATTATTCTTTCATTTGTTCCTGCTACAGATAATTACAGCAAAAGCCCTTTTTCTTTTTGCTTGTTGTTTGTTTGTTTGACCTATACTGACCTATGTTCTATGGCATGTACCTAGGAGAATAATTGGCAGAGTTCACTGGGCAGGATCCCCCCCCAGTCTAGGAATTTTCCATTTCCCGGTAGATTTAGAAACTGCGAAGTATCAGACTGGGATCTGAGCCACCAGAAGGAATTAGCGTGAGTTATTTTCCCTTGATGAGAGCAGATAAGAGCAAGACACACAGACCTGAGAAGCCGGTCATGCCCTGCTTTTCCCTCATCAGGTTATAGTCAATCTCTTCATAGACAGCCTCAGAGAAGGGGTCGTAGGATAGTCTGGAGCCTGAAAGTAAGAGGCAATGATCACTCAGTCTCTGCTCATATGCAAGCTGGGTTCATGGAAAGGGGTCTGCATGGCCTGGTTGGTACCCAGAAAGTCACTGAGAAGTGCTGACTGAGGATAAGCACTGCTGGGCTCTTTCACTGCCAGGTGGCAAGTGAAAATGTCACTGTGGCAGCAGATGCCGTTCATCTCAGTAGCCCTTCCCCCCAGCCTCCCCAGCCAACTAAACACTTGCCAGCCATGCCAAGGAGGCATTTCATACCAGTCCTGAGTGACCCACCTCTCTGCTCTGCTCTGGCACTTCGGATCTGTCCAGCAAGAATGGCAAGGACCAGGCAGAGAAGGGCCCCCAGGATTATGCAGAGGATGACAGGCATTGAAATTCTCGTACTGTCTGTTGCAGGGCGGCGGGGAGGATCTGAGTGGAAATGAAGAAGCAATAGGTAGAGAATCAGATGACCCAAAGGGCTGCTCCTCTGCAGCCTCCTGCTCTGAGTGAGGCAGGTCACCTGCTGCCCAGCTGTGGATCCTACTCAAGCAGCTAGAATTCAGCAACTGGCGATAGTGCCACTCAGCTCTCCTTTACAAAAGGCTGTGGGAGATGCTTTCTAGATGAGCTGGAATATACTGCTGATTGACCTGCTATGCAGTATCAGGGACATTAAATCCTCATTTGATGGGAGAAAGGAAGGAGGTGGAAAGAATGTTTTACCTGCTCTAGTGGGTGATGCTGTTGTTTCTGTCATACCTGCAAAAGGAAGGCAAGTCCAGATTAAGGAAGAGGCAAGTGTGAAAAATAGGGAGAACAACTCTACATCATTTGTGAGGTTCCTGCAGTCAAAATTATGAAGAGGCTAGTCACTGGGATGTACAGCTGACATAAGGTTCCTCTATCCACCTCCTTCCCAGATCTGTGTAATGAACCAAATGACCAGTCACTAACCGGAGCAATTCACAGCAGCATCTTCCTTATGGTCACAGTTTTTGCTGAACAAGGGATTGACAGGACAGTCCCAAAAAGACAGCTCTGTTCCTTTGCAGTGCACCTTCTCCAACCAGATGGGACCAGTCCCTTCCCCAAAGGCAGCTTCATGCAGAGCAGACAGAGCAGATCCACAACCCAGCTGCCTGCATACAACATTAGCATCTGCCATGTCCCAGGAATCATCACAGACTGTTCCCCAAGAACCGTGTTGCCAAATCTCCACTCTGCCTGAACATCCATCCTCTCCTCCTATGACTCGTAACTTCTCCCTGTCTGCAAAACACAGAAACCTTCTGAATTGCTGAAACAGCAGGAAGGTGCGTAGGGACCAATAAGTAGAAACAATGAGGTACCTGAACAACTTGTAGAGTTTGGACACTCAGCAGCTGTGGCTGGAGATGTTGCCTCTTTTCTTCCTGCAGAATTTAAATACTGAAGTAACTAATTTGATTATTCTCTGAAAAGAGTGAGGGAGTATAAAATGCCTGAAAATTAATCAAGTTAATTTTTTTCTGTAATATATATATGGCCTATTTAGTACTTGCTGGATCACTGTTTGGCTATTGCTATGAATTAAATAATCTTCCTGGTGACTGTGCTTTCTTTCTTCTCGTGTGAGGCAGCTGCAATCCCTTTCAGAAGATCTGAATGTCATCTAGAATTCATTTATACTGTAATGGGAACCCACAGGTATGAAATACTGTCATAAGAGCAGGCAGTAGAAATGAGCCTTTAGAACTGAACTAATTCATACACTTGTCCATGGTTATGTGCATGCACATGTGTACATGTACATATGCACCAATATGCCTCCACACATGTAGAAACACATACATGCCTCTAGACTTCTTGAGAAGTCAGATCTCACAGACTGATTGTCTATCGTAGATTTTTGCTTTAAAAATATGCAATGGCACCATCTTCTCAGGGACTTCCTTGGGATTTCCACTGGGTAACTGCACTCGGTGAGACTCATGTAATTTTAATTCACTCATTTACATCAGGGATATAGACCAAGAAAAATGTTTGTGCCATTTGCATGAAACTAGAAATAATATATACCAGATAACAAATGAACACGAGGTAATTATTACAATGTCTATATATGCATGCATAGGTTTATGTGTATGTCTGGGCAGGCCTGTACACATGCATTTCTAATTACCAGTGCAAGAAATATGAGTCTCTTCTGCTCGGTTATCACATGACTGAGGATCCCAGGGGTCTGACTGACATTGCCAGAGAGAGCTATGTCGCTCAGTGCACTCAACGTGGTCCAGCCATGTGGGCCCAGAACCGCTGCCATATTTGAAGTCTCTTGCGATTTCCCCGCCATCTCCACAGTTCAGGTGTTTGCATACAGTTATTGCAGTGCGTTGAGACATACGATTGGAGCAAATGCTCCCCCATGTCCCATTGTAGAAAACTTCTAGCCGCCCAGCACAGTCAGTGCCATTTACCAGCCTCAGAGCCAGGAACTCTAGAAGAAAGACATAAAAATGGAATTAGAGGGGCCTGATTCTGCTAGGAACTTGGCTGTGATGATTGAAATCCAGAATCTGCTAACAATCCTGTTCATCACTCTGAATATGAAAAAGTGCCAGAGGAAACCACTCCAAAAGTGACAAACAAAACGAAAAGCCATACAGTGATCCTGTCTGGTTAGCCAGCATTCACCAGCATCTACATCAACAAACAAGTGACGGCCACACCCCACAGTTGCAGGCATATTTCTTTGGTATGTTGAAGCATAGGTGCCATGTACTCCTCTGATTTGTTGAAGTTTTGGTGTGCAATGACTTGTTTACAATAATTTCATAGCCAGCTGGAACAGCTCCCCTGCAGAAGCGCAGGGCACCCCTGCAGCCTGTGGTGACTGAAACCCTGGCCAATACATTTCACCCCTCAGCTCTGTGAAACACCTATTTAAGAAGGGTTTGAACACACATCTGTTATAAACTCTACCATCATCGTAATCATAAAATACATGCATTATTATCCCTTAGTCCCAGATAATAGGCATCGACATTGTAACAATGTGGACATATAGTGAATAAAAGGCTGCCCCTCATTCTGGGAACCACATTATAGGAGTTAACATCATACCAATGTCCACATGTATTTATTACAAAATTCAGACCTTGTCCCTGCAAAACACATGAACAAGAATGTAGTTTATGAGGTAAAGTAAGATTGTGCTCTTCTATTTACTTTGTGTAAAGGCACACATTTCATTGTTCTTTTTCCAAAGACCAGCCAGTAAGTAAACACTGCTCTTCAAAAAATAGAGACTACTTCCTTAGGGATTTCAACTGTTGCAGGCTCCCCAATCCAAGCATCCTCAGGACTGGCTGGTACTTTATCACCCATTTGACCTCAGGTTTTCTTTTGGGCTCCTATGGCAAGTTCCTTGCTCTAGGTTAACTAGCCACACATCTTCCTGGAGGTGAGGAAGGTGAGGATGTCATTTATTCCCTGATAGACCCCTTCCCAAGTGTTTTTAGCATGGATTTAAGTAAATCATTGCACAGCCCTACTTTTCCAGCTGCCTGGTGATACACCCCCTCTACCCATTCTTATATGCTTGTATTTTTGTAATGACTTATGTTGTCTGACTCCTGCCTAAGCGACATTCCATGGTGCCAACATATACGTCTGTTTATTCCCTCTAGGGTGCTACCTGCATTTGCTGTCTGAGTGGGGAAAGCTTCTAGCCACCCTTGTGATGCTCTGCCACTGTGAGAACATAGCATCTGCCAGTGGTGCTGGGGAGGAAGGGGTTGGTCTATATAATCCACTTATGAGGTGTCTCCAAACATTAATTTCTCTCATTGTACATAGTTTCATCATTCACGCTGTATGTTGTGCTATTCCACAGGCATCAAACTACCGAATTGCTTGCATTCTATCTTCCCAAGACAAGCCTAAGCCCAAGTCGATCCTTCGCAGCATGCTCAGCAGTTTCATAGACTCATCTGCCTAAAAATAGTTTTCCTTTACGCTCCATCCCAAATCTCTACTGACAGGTTAAGCCAACTGGTCAGCTTGATTGCTGTTTCTCTTCTTGAGTTGCCTTTGAATTTGGGATATATGCATTATTAGCGTGACATACTAAGCAGGTCTTTCTTCAGGCAGCTGTTGTACTACTGTCCATACTTCTGCTCAAAATGGTTTTCCTCACTGCTGCCAGTTATCACAATTTCATTCTTTAAGCAATTTCCTTACCACATTATTTACCATCTGGGCATCCGTGCATGGGTCTGTTGATGCTCCTGAGTATATTCCAAGGCTATTTTCAAGGCCTTTCAAACTTCTTCAAGTCTCCATCCTGGATGGCAACTTCTCCTGTAGGGTTCTCCAAGGGTCTCCACTTCCTGTTTCCTACTGTGCTTTTATAGGATCCATCAGTGAACTAACTCTGTTGTTTAGTTTTGGCACTTAATTCATCACATGCTGGGGCACAGCCAAAACAAACAGCCAAAAGTGTTTGGTCTTCCTCATACTATTGATCAGCTGACCATTGACTTAGTAAATTCAGCTAATCCTGGTCTGGAGCTTGAACCAGTATGTGCAGATTGGCAAAGGGCCGGTATCCATTTTCACCATGTAGTTGTGGTTGCTCTTCCCTCAGTAGTTTTGAATCCTTGAACCTAAAATTCAGGACAGTTAGTCTAGGGCATAACCACAGTGACTGCTCTGCACTCACTTTCATGGCATTCAGACACCCTCTGCATATGCAGAGAGGACTTCGTGGTTTAGGGGGGAGTAGTTATTTTCTGCTCCTTCATGGCTCTGACTCCAGAGTTGCAAGTGTCTCTCATCTCTTGAGATGCACATTGCCACAAATTCCATTTGATACTTTTCTTTCTTGCATGTGTATATAACAGGTTTTTTTATATTGCTACCTAACCATATTGGTCCTAATGCCATGGCATGAACTATCTTGTACTGATCATCTCCAAAGTTTGCTGGCATTCCTCTTCCCACTCAAAATAAGGCTTATTTCAGGTCAGTTGCTATGTAGGTTGGGTCAATTGGCTGTAACCAGGCATGTGCGTACATCAAAATCCAGTAATGCCCAAGAAGGCCTGGGTTCTTGTTTATTGTGTGGAGGTCCATGGTGCTTATCCAAGCAATTTTGTCAGCTGGCATACATCTCCATCCATTTTGTATGCCTAAAATCTGTATTTCTTGAAGGGGCCTTATTACTTTGGAGTGCTTAATGGCAAATCCAGCACTGAGAAAAGTAATGATTTCCTATAGCCTTTTATTTAGTACTTCTGGAGTTGTTCCTCCAATCAATACATCATCAAGGTAGAGGAAAAGTTATTTGGAATTTTGTTGCTTTAAATTTTGGTGGATGATGCCATGGCAGATGATAGTAAGGGCTGTGTTTCCACTCTTGGGACAGCTGGTTCCAGATGTACTGCACACCATTCCAGATGAAGGCAAACTGAGGTCTTACTTCTTTGACCAGTGGGATTG